CTGTCTACCCAGGTAACCACTCAAACACTACTTGTATAATTGTCTATTTTGTAGATGAAACCAACTGACATTTCAGATTGCTAGTTATTTCAGTAGTTTGTCTGGATGCATACAGTAGATTTCTATACTACATGTATCTGTGTCTGTCTCCAGTATACATGTTTATTTTCATATCTCTTGTACATAAATGCATATTGCAATTATTGTGCATGGACATGTGAGACATCAGTCAGGACTGCTAATGATTTCAAGTTTAGAGTGTGAGATGGGGCACAATCTTGACATTTAAAGATGCAGTTGTTTAATGGTTTGACACTTTGGTATTTCACTATCGCGATGTCAATCATGTCATGCATTTGCGATTTTTTATGTTTGCCATTATGTGTCACAGTTACTATAGTATCTATGTGTTCTTTTCACACTATGTATGCTAACTGATGACATTCACTGTCTGTGAATACTAGCAGTATCTATGTGTTCTTTTCACACTATGTATGCTAAACTGATAGTGTGATTCATCATACTAGGCTCTGTCCATCACGGAAATAAAGTAGTTGCATGAGATTTCATCATTATTATAAACAATTCATTGTTTGAAAAATGCATTGTTGAATTGTCACGGTTTCTTTCATTCTGCCATTTCTCGGTGTTTTACTAACAGAACCTGTTCAGGTACCTGGCAAATGTTATCAGTTAATTGCCATTACATTATTTTTCTCCTTGTACTTTGTGACCATTTTCTTTCCCTCCAGGGATTGTGTAAGAGTCAATAAGTAAATAAATTAACATCAATTGTTATCAGCCAATGAGATCTTTCTTAACTTGATAGGGAAAATTTCTTGCAAAAAACTTTCCATGTATTCCATTTATGTTGGCTTGTACATGTACACACAAAAATATAGGAGTTAGTAAATTATCTGCAAGTAGAAATTTTACTACATAATTTCACAATTTTTCCCTTGAATAAAGTGCTTTAAAAACTATGTATGAATATGTGTACGAGGTAATTGATGTTATTTCTCTACATTGCATATTATTATCACCTATCGCATGGAAATTGAATGGATATCAGATTCCCATTTGTCCACTATGGTTTTATTTTATTTTGACATATGGTCACAGAATACTCACATCAAAAAAAATTGAGTCATTCACATTGTAACTAATTGATTCCTAAGAGGAAAACATCTCGTCATATCTGTAAATAATGTTCAGTAACATATAATGAAAGAATAGTATGTTGCTATGAGGTTGGTAATTAGATTGCACAAATTATTAGGAGATTCTGGAGAATACTATTTATTTGAACACTTAAAAGGCAATGGCATATATCCAAATCTATAATTAAATAGTACTTTTAAAACCAAATATTGTGATAATATTATCGCTGTATTTAATAGGTTGTAATACCTGCAAATGACTATAATAAGCAACATTAAAACAACAGTCATATATATCATATTCATAAGCATCACAAAGAACCAAAAAAAAAATCATATTTTTATACATGTATACCTTATACATTTATCAGAATCATTTAAATATATGATTTTGATCTCTGCAGATATTAATATCTAATATCTATAATGAGAAAAACTGATTTATAATTGGCATGATTTATTAATGTTTCTTGTCCCCGCGAACATCTACAGTATAGGGTAATGTACTACCTTATATGGTGCCTCAGAGGACATTTAAGTTGTTACTTATAAGGAAGTGATATTACCTTATAAGGTACCCCAGAAGTCAATAGACTTGGTTGAATTACAACAATGAAATATATTTCATTTAAGTCATTGCATAGCAAAGCACTGTCGTTTGAATAATGGTCTTCAGATTTCACTCATCCTTCAAAATGACATCTATGTAATTCAGGTGAAAAAGGAGTTATGTTGTTTTTTCTGTAGCTGCATTCCCAATGTGTGGCATCAGGTATGGTTGCAATATACACCCCATCGTAGTGTAGTACATGTACATCATGCAAGTTGACCGAGTGTTTGCATTGCTGTATACTCGCCTGTACTCTGGATATTTTAGTTTTGAATGTAATTGAGTTCTCAGTTATTGTTTGATATCTGATTTCTGATTCATCTACTATAGGTTTACTTTGTATAATAATTGTCCATTGCATATTACCGGTATTTCATTGTCGTTTATTTATCAATCTAGTTTAATTTTCATGTGTTAGTGACTGCAGTGCTTAGCAATGGCATTGAGTACTGACTCACATGTCTAAAAAGATTACTGTTGTATTTCATAGACATTATATTTAATACACATTTTTTTTTTTTTTAACTTGATGGCCACATTATTTATTCATTTCTATTCATTGCCTATCAATAACAAAGAATGATTTATATGGATATTGTTGAGTTGGAATAAATTAGTCTTAATGTATGTTTGATATTTAGTCGTAATGTTCTGTGCATTTGAAAATGCTAATTTGTTGGCAATAATAGTAAAAATATGTGGTTTATTACCATGTGAGGTTATTCCAACCAAATTGAGGTGAGATATTAAGATTAAATCGTCTGATTATATTCGGTTCTGATTTATTTTGTGGAATCGATTAATGTATTAATAATACACTGTATGTTTATACCACTATTTGTTTAATAAAATAGTGTGGGAGAATATTAGTGATAGGAAACAGAGTTAATTAAATAATCTGAGATTATGTATATATAGTACTGTGTCGTGTTCCAATTGTCTTTGTTTAATAATTATCTACAAGATTGATTGCATACTAAGTGGTCTGGTAAACAAAGTGTTTGATTTGACACTGTTCATACATGTATCTATATGTTGTTTAATGCTGGAACAGCCCTATATTTCATCATACTGTAAATATGAGGCAGTTTTTTTTCTCTGGAGCTAAGTTTATCTCGTCTGTTGTCATGCAAGAGTTAATTGTGTTAATCAGTAGTGTTCAGTAAAATGTAAAAGAAAACTTGACAGTATATAAATTGCAACTCCGCCTACTTGATTTGCTAAAATTTTAATAATTTTTTTTTTTTTGTGTTTGCTTTGAAAATATATAATAAATAGTTTAAAAAAGTATTAGAATTATTTAAGGTCATTTAACAACACTAGGAACACAGATGAGCATGTACATGTTTGTCTGAATGTTGATTGATTGTAATTGCTGGAACATTGTATATATATGCATCCCATCTTATTATTCATTACTGCTTCATTAGATTCATAAATTATACTTTAAATGAAATCGAAAGATTATCTTCTAATCCACTGATAAAAGATTATCTTCTAATCCACTGACGAAAGATTATCTTCTAATCCATCGATATTAGTCAGTTTTATAGGTGTCTGTCTTTCCTTTCAAGAGCTCAGAGTTTTTTTCTGGAGTCTTTTGTGGATACCATGTTGTTATAGAAGCTCCCCACTTTTAGTGAGTATAGATTGAGACATAATTTGGCACAACTATAATAACAAATAGTGATGCAAGTAGTTCCCATGCGGTCTGAGTCCCCATCATTATCTTAGGCTTGCACGAGCCAATCACATTCAATATTCACACACACATCGTACATCTCAGAAGTCATATGCATGTGCTTTTTTTTCTTGATCTGATTCAAGATGACTAAGTGACCACCATTTTTATGCTTAATAATCATCCAAATAATCCAATCAAACTTCTGTAACCATATCTCAGTTGTGTATGGATGTTAAAATTTGGTACATACATGTACCTTGTACATAATGCAGCCTCAGTTTCAAAATAGTCGACTGGTGGCATTAAAAATGGGCAAAAGAATTTGCCTGTTTAAAAATTGTCATATTTTAATAATATCTCCACTCTATTCAATGCACAATTCATCATGATTATAATTCAAGATACAAATTCATATTTATGAAATTGTTGGAACACAGATATACTTCAATGCACTTCAATTTTGGTGTTCACAAAATTGTGAATTGGATTTTTAAAAATTATGAATGTTTCAAACAGGATAAGCCAGGCAGGAATAGAAAAATATTATATTATGTAATTTGGATTTCAATTAAAAGTACATTTTTACACTATAAAGTGATCATGGTGCACTTTACAAATGTACAAGAAATGGGGAACTTTGCAAAAATAAATATTAGATTTAACCTGGTAATTTTGATTTCCACTTAATTAATAATTTAAATGTTTAGCATAAACAATGAAGTTGATCTGATATAAGAAAGTCAATATTGATCTAATGTGTTTGTTCTGTATTGCTAAATCTACATTGATTCAATACCAAATAATGATGTTAATCCAATGTTAACAAATGAACCTTTATTCAATGTTAAAATTTAGTTTCATTGATTTTATGTTGCTAAATCTACATTGATTGTACATTAAATAATGATGCTGATCTAATGTTAACAAATTAACCTTGATTCAGTGTTACAGTTTAGTTTCATTGATTTTATGTTGCGAAATCTGCATGGTTTCAACATGAAATAATGACATTGATTTGATGTCAACAAATCAACCTTGATTCAATGTTAGCTTTTGTTAGGTTTCAACCAGTATCCAACATCATGTGTCCACAGGGATAGTGACTTTCACTAGGATCTTTAAGACAGGGAGTCATATAGTGACTTTCAGATTTAGTATGCATCTTTACCCTTCAAAACGATCACATAAATGGTCACTGGTAAACAAAATCCACACAAACATTTGCAAAATCCAGTATTTTTAATAAATGGAACTGGACAGGAAAATACCACATATTCTAAAATTACTTGCATGAAAGTGAAGGAATTTAATTGTAAATTGCAGCTAATTGTTCAGTTAACCTGGTCTCATTAACCAAGTCAGGCCTGTCCAGTCATACATGTGTACAGTATTATATCAACAGGAAAATCAGTTTATTTAATTGCATCTATCCAATGATGATAAAGAATGTACAATGTTCTGATCTCTGGTTGCTGTTTGGCATGCTGTTATCTTAATGGAGCTCAGTTCAATTCAATATTGTTTTCAACTTTTCTTTGATTTAGTAGTAACTATGGAATCCGGATGTCAAGTACAAGCAATCTACGACTTTAAAGGCACTGAACCTAGTGAATTGACATTAAATACTGGTGATATCATAGAGGTGGTCAGCAAACTAAATGATAACTGGTTGCAAGGTACACACAATGGTGTAACTGGAGCATTTCCATCTAACTTTGTGACACTGCTGTCAAATAATACACCAAAACAAGTTACTGCTATTGAAGAATTTATTGCAACAAGCAATGGAGATCTGGGATTCCAAAAAGGTACATTAATTAGCAACGACAGCTGTGATTGGTTAGGTGAATATGTATGTATGTTATATATGAAACACATGATCTGATTGGTCTCTG